TGTTTCGTCAAGTTGAATTCTATAACAGTAAAAATTAGCAGTAATTACAACCGTTACAGTGCAGCTAGATTTAATACAACTATCACTATCATTTCATAATTTCATTCGTACGAAATTATCTTATAATCTAATGAAGCGAATAATTTGTGTTGAGGATGAGTTGCACAAAAACATCAGAATGAACTAGCATTTTGTAACAATCTTGAATTATTGAATGCAAATTTCGTAATGCCCATAAAAAGCGACGAAATAATTATCGACGAAAGTAGCATTTGACGAAAATAATCTTTAATAAGGAATCTCAAGGATCTGGATCTCCTGTAACAATGAGAATCAACATTCATTTCCAATCACTCTTATCGTCTACATACTACGATTATACATTGTGTTAACTAATTAAATGCTATAAGTTTTAATTATTCTAAAGCTTAGAATATAATGCCCCAGTTGGCCAACACATGTTAGTTTTCATTACAAATTATCTTTGAGGTCAGCCCCATGCTTTACGGTATAAGTGCTTGATATTGCACAGCACTGGAGATAGTATCTTCCAGGAACTGAGCACGAACTTTACCAATGCCATGGTGGTGAGAAACATTCTCCATTTCGCCAAGTGATTCTTTCTGAGCAGACGTCTTCTAGCTGGTGTAATTCCAGAGGGTTAGGTAGATCCCCAGCATAGAATAAAGTAATATCGCATAGGTAGTGTCATCACATTGAGTACCTGAGATTGAAAAAAAAAAAAAAACAAAAATAAAATAAACATACGGTCATTTCTTACTCTGTTCTTCGCATACAAGACTTAGACCCCCCTTGGTACGTTTTTAATTAGGTCACTCACACGATCCCATGGTACAGATGTTTCAAAGTTTCATGCAAATATCATAGTTATCCAAGATCTTGTGGTAAGAATAGAAAATGTTATGAAGATAGCCATTTTAACGTTTGCTTCTACAGTAGGGATTCCGCCTATGTGCTAGCAATGCTATATACTGTAGACTTTCTTGGTACATATCATGTGGGCCTCAAAAAATCAATGTAATGAGCCAATACATTTAGTATTAAAACTCATAGAGCGTTACTATAAAATCAAACACATCATATCCATAACAACTAAAAATATAAAACCATCCCTCAACTAATTTTTTTTATTTCTTTATACTAATAACACTACACTCATCTTTACACAAAACAACAAATCAAACAATATCCATCAAAAAACTCCAATTCCACAACCTCCCTCAAATTATTTAACATTCTATTAAACAAACCACTACCACATACCCCCAATATAACAACCTCCTACACCCAACATCCCATTTTATTCACCAACTCATTCCAATCCATAAAAAACAAACTAAAAAAAAAAAAAAAAAAATAAAAAAATAAAAAAAAATAAAAAAAAAAAAAAAAAAAAAAAAAAAAAAAAAATAAAAAAAAAAAAAAAAAAAAAAAAAAAAAAAAAAAAACCAAATCTCAACCCAAACATTCCCATACAACCTTAACCACTCAAAAAAAAAAATTAAACTATTCCACACTCTACCAACATCACTTATCAATCCATACTATCATAAAAAATTAATAACCAAATATCAACATCCTAACATATATCATTTTATTTTTTTTTTCCCACCTAAAACTTCACCACCATCCAATCAACAAATACCACACCTCTCCACACAACAATTAAAAAAATTTCCTCACCCTCATCCCTCATAAACACAATTACATATCCACAATACATTAATCCTAAAACCCTACACCATACTTACATCTCATCATTATTTTTTTTTTTTTTAAATTTTTATCACTCCCCCCAATTTCAACTAACACACCACCCAATAAACTCTCATACTCAAAAACCACCCATTCAATACCATACTAACACAATTCAAACTCCATCAAATCCATTATATCAAAACCAACTTTCCACAACAATAATATTAAAAAATCCACACCTCTTAATATTATTATAAAAAACACAAAAAATACAACCAAACAATCCAACCATCTTATATTAATTATCTATCCATTTCACTTCAATCCACATCCCATCAATAACATATCACCACCCCAAAATTCTAAATACACATCATAACAAACAAATCACCAATAATCATTATAATCTCTATATCATTTTCACATCATCACAACAAATCAAAAACATATATACATCAAATTTAACAAAATTTAGTTTTAACAATTCTTTAAACATGTCACTCAATAATTTTTTATTATAATTTATTTATCACAAATTAAGTTTAATTAATACATCCTCAACCTATAGATATGTCAAAAATACAATACCATATTTCTTAAAAAAATTCATATCCCTCATCAATAATCAAAAAATTAATCATCAATTATTCAATCATAATAATTAACATTAAAACATATCATTAACACAAAATCATAAACAAATTATTAAAAAATCAAACCTACAACAATAAATAATAATTAAACCAAAAAACAAACTAATAACTAATATACTACCCCAATCACATTAAATATCTTTATCATATCAATTTTTTATTCACAACAGTTACTCTTTATAAATAAATATCCTCTTACCCTTTCTAAATAAAATCACATCATACCTTCATCCAATCCAATATCATCACTTTCAAAAATTTCTTTCAACATATATTCGTTAATAATTTAAAAGAATAATAAAATAAGCTTAACTATAATTTCACAAATTACACAATTCAACATCAAACTAAATTTTATTAATGTATTCACTTAATATATTTCTAATTAATAACAAGTCTATGAAACATTTCGTATATTTTTCTTGGCATAAATATTTGAATTCAATTGTAACTAATATAAAACTTTCTAAGTTCCTTAATTAGGCAAGGCCCGATGTTCACTTGAATTCCCCAATTCTTTCATCATTTTAACTTTGGTTTTATAAAGAGTTTAATTACCAATCCCAACCAAACATATCTTTCAACAATTGTTTGTAATTTTTAGAATATAAAAATTACTCAATATCATGCAGTAGTTAACAAGAAGGAAGGTTATGATTATTATAAGAAGGACAATGGTCAGTAGATATGGGCTTGCTATAAAAATGAAAAAGGTTTATAGAATCTTACTGTATGATTAGCAAATGCCCCCCCCCCACCACCCGCCCCCCACACCTTCCAACCCCAACACACACACTAACTCTAAAACCAATCCCTAATAACATACCTAATAAAATCTTTTCTACCACTTATCCCCTCCCTCTCTAATCCAACACTCCAATCATCTACATCTTCCACTATTTCCTCCCTTACCCCCATTAAACAAACCAAAAACATAACACTACTCAAATTTCATCCAATTCACAATTCTCCCTCAATCCCCAATACCCCATTTCACTATATTATCCACCAACCCCCTACACACCTTTACCTAATACATTCCTCCTTTCTACCTCCCATACTAAAAAACACATTTACACACCCATAACATCCCATTCTCCATAATACAAAAACAAATTCAACACATATTTTCAACACCAATTCCTATACCCAAACTCTCTAATCCCTCTTCCTCCTAAATCCCATTTCTTCCTATAAACCCCCATTCAATTACCCTAATATTACCTAAATCCATCAACAAATATCATTCACTCACTCACAAAAACTCCTAACTACATTTATTCCACAACACAAAATAATATTCCTCACCCTTATAATAATTTCATTTTCAACCAACACCTAAACTTACCCAACCCCAACAAAACATTCACAACCCCCCATACACATACATCTTACTCTATCAAATCTTCCCATCAATTCAAATCCTATAATACCTTCTTACTTACAAATCTCAAAAACAACCTCAACAAAACTAACCCCATACAACTATCACCAACATATAAAACAATTTCACTCCCAAATCAACCCAACCACCTCATAACCCCCATCCACTAACAAATCATAAAAATATACCCACAACCCCCAACAATAATACCAACACACCTAAAACCCCATCATACCAACATCCCTATCAATCCCAATACAACACACATCATACCTATAACAACATCAAAAAACATAACACATCCATCCATCTACCCAAAATACCTCTTCCCAAAAACACTCAAATCAACACACCACACCATACACTCACCCAACAAATCACACACAAACCAAATCCCAAACAACTAACCAATACCTCCAAAATAAAATCAAATAACAACTATCATCTACACACAATATAACAACATCAAAAAAAATTTAAATTATAATTCCTAAAACCCCCCTAACCACTAAAAAACTCTCCACCCCAAACCCACACTAAAAACCAAATCTCTCACTTAAATAGACAACCTACAAAACTAAAATAAAAACTAAAAAATATACACCTAACTAACAACAAATCCAAACCACATAACTAACACCATTCACCAATCCACACAAAAACAAAAACAAAAACTTTCCCCCAAACCCAAAACTTCAACTCACATAACACTATCCATATCTTCACAAATAATCCTATCATCCACCCCAAAAACAAAAAAAAATAAACTAAAATCTCATATACCCCACAAACCCTTCACAAAAACAACACACTTTACATATCACTAATAATCAAATTATATACACGAAAAAATGAAGATAATAATTATATTTTTGAAAAAGTGTTGTATTTACTGAATATCTTTAAATACGTAATCTCTTTTTTTTATATATCATTACATTACAATATTACCATCAAATCTCATCTCAAAATTGTTTTTTTGTCTATTGATATTGTTATTTGATGGGAACCGTAAATCAGTAAGTGGTATCCATCTCACAGATTTAAACTTCATCTTGAGTTTTACAATCTTGTTTCATTACGTTTCTCATAAGTTTTATAAAAGTCTTTGAAATTTGAAAATATTCGCTTATTACATCTCACAGTTCAGTCAGCTGGATTGAATTATTCAACTAAATTGTCAGTTCAACCTTTAATTATAAGAATTAACGTCTACTCGAATAACATGAAATATGCCCATTCAGCAAGAATAGATAGATGCATGCATTTCTTCTCCCTACATGAAAACGCAAGTTTGGTAGAGGAAACATGTTCTCTACTGGACACATGCTGGCCTAAAAGTAGGTTTGCTCGGAGGAGGAAGTTTGAGTCGCCACCCGTCCTCAGTTACCTGTGTCTGTTGCTATGGTTAGTAGGGTATTGTTTAATTTAACAAACACACACCGTTCATGTGCATACAGTTGGCAATCTTGTGATTTATTCTGAATTTTAATGTTCACAGTGCAGTTCGCTGTTTGACAAAGATAACATTAACATTATGTAATTATGTTTAATATTAATATTATGTAAACCTAACACTTGTTCAGGTGAAGGATGAGAAGGTGATAGGACACTACAGACTGAGTGAGAGCCTAGAGAACGAGCGGTGGTGTGTTGTGGAGTCTGTTATTGTGTCCGCTCAACATCGGGGTTTAGGTAGCTGATTTAAGTAGAATAACTGTTTTACATAATAATATGTAAAGCAGGAATACTTCATATATGTAATACATAATATGAAGTTAGCTAGACTGAATGAGAATGATTTACTGTACCCTAAAGTGAGATTTGAAGGGCGTTTTTAACCACTTGTAGGGCGTTTTTAACCACTTGTAGTTGTAATGTTTTAATTATTAAATATCCTAATTTATAAATTTTTACCCTCATTAACCAATCTTTGTGGTGGCTGAAGCTGGCAAACCAAAGGACAGTTAAGGGTCTCAGGCCCTATGTCTTCTTCAACGGCATAGGGAAGCTCTTGTCTTATAACATTCACAGGGTCAGGAGACAGATTGAGAGTATACTGGACCTGGCAAAATGCGTCATGGCTGGTCTCAGTGGTGCGATATTGTTTGGACCCAACGCCTACTTTTATCTGAGTGAAGGAGAGAAGATGGAATTCTCAAATTGGGCATCGATTTGAGCTCAGCTTTTGACACCATAAATGCGACCGTAATTCTTTGACTTGCATAAGGAAGCTGTTGCTGTGAAGACGATCATCAGGTTAGCAAGGTATTTGTTGTCAAATACCAAGCTCAGAATTAAAATTGACGAAAACAATCTCTCTGGAGTTTGAAACCTACAATGGATCTTTCCAAGGTGATGGAGCTTAAGGGGCATTTTTTACTTCTATTCTTTGCTGCGATCGTACCACTAAGAGTAGTGTTATCATTTCACTTACCTGCGTCCAACCCTCCTTTTGGACCAGACTCTCTCTTACAATAGAATGGGAGTATGCGATGATGCAGAATTTCGGTGATGAAGACGGTAGAAAAATCTGCATGAGATGCTGCCTATTTGCAGATGAGAATTTTTGGTGAATGGGACTACCTTGTTAACGAAGACAATACTGAATTTGTCGTTTCTTTATAGCAGACACAATAAGTGCTCGACAAGAAAGGATGAGCCATTAGAGGTAGAGTGCCATGGAGGATGGGAATGAGTGTGTCACGGGGATCAGGTTTGCAGCAAATTGACATACTTCCACCGCTGTTTCCTAGCTAATGGTTGCTTTCGAAAAGTACAACAAATGTTTGGCTGGAAAAAAAGTCGAATTTCACTGGGACACACAAAATGAAATTATCGAGGCCCTTGTTACCCGTACTTGCTGTAAACTGCAATAGCTGGGCCGTCCGTGAAAATCCTTCAGAAAGTGGATGTGTGTCAGCATACATTTGGGCGGATAATGACTCCACTTATCCCGAATCATCAGTAACCGAGATTTATTCTGTTGTGGGGTGACTCCATTACAGAGAGGGGTTGCTAAGTCTCGCTGGAAATGTCGGTTCATATCTTTCGAAGGATTGTAACTCCCCACCCAATGCTTGAGTTTTTTTACTTTGAGTGTATGGAGAATATGAAAGGGAGAATTGGTAGACATCAGATCGTATTTTCAAAACTTTTTAATGATGGATTTAAATAAAAAGAAATATAAATTATGTAATTTGACAGATTTGTCAGATACAGACATATAGCCTCGAACAGAAACCATGGAGAAATTTGTTAGTTTTGATTCATTAATTTTGTTGGGTTAAATATTTAAGTTTGTTTTCAGAGTTTCTTCTCGTAGACTTATCAGATCCTAGGTTTGTTTTTATATTACTACTTCGGATTTGTGTAAAGTTTGATAATATAATAAATTTTTAACCAGAGCGAATTGATATTTAATAATTGATAATTTATTTATATTTATATATATATTATATATTATTCGATAGTTTAGTCTCATATTGATATTGATTATATTGATATTGTTGTTGAAGCTAACCCCAGAAAAATCAATAATACTACTTCTTTGGAGTATATTATAAACGACCCAAGTTTGCATATATGTTATCCAACAAGAAGTCAGGAGGCAAGGGGGGTGCAGCGGTATAACTTTACGGTCTTCACTATACGATCCTGTATCACCCTGGATTCTTTTCGACGTATTTTTGGTTAAAGTATAGTTATACTTTTGGTCTCTCTATGCTACTCCAAGTCCCTAAGATATCTGGTCTAAAGTTGTGTAGTTATATTTATACAATATAGTTTTTGTCTGTTTATTTGATTATAAATATATTGTTGGTTTCTTGAAAATTGTTGTTTTCTTGAAGAGGCTTTACTAACCGTAACATCCCAGGGTTGGGACTGAAGCTGATGCAACACTGCCTTGACCTGGCTGATAGTCTCTCAATGGACGAGATATTCCTCTCTACAAAGGACAAGATGGGTTTCTACGCTAAACTGGGATTTGTTGATGGCTTTCCAGTGTCCATCTTATCTAAAGTGAATGCAATGTTTAGAGGCAAACACTTTCTGGACAAATCTGTAACTAAAACTGATGGTGTTACCTGGATGAGTTGCAAACTAGTGGACTCCTGACAAAACTTGGTAATTTAGGTCCTTTCTTAAGTTGTTATCATTCTTTTCGGGCATGTCACTGATTTTTATTGATAATTTTAATTTGAAGATTAGACTATGCACGATTTGTGGCTATTATTTGTTATCTATGATTGTCATCTATTAGATTATAAAAATGTACCAATGGTTGTGTTATATGTCGAGGGTGTGTAAATATATTTTAAAACTAGGGCCAATTCTGATTTTATTGTATTTTATTGTTCTTAATAATCTGTATTTTATACTGTAAATATCAATAATTAATATATTCCTATTTTAAATTATGACTATCTGATTAACTTTTTCTCCCAAATATCAACTTGTTTTCCTTCGAGTCCTTTCTCAATTAAACGCAATGCAAAAATAAGAAGTTACATCTATTTAAACTTGGTTGGTCACACAACCATGTGAACCATAACACACAACCCCTACCCCAGGATGTAGAGAAAGTATCAACCCCCATTCTCCTCATCTTCCTCTTCTTCTTCCTCACTAGTAATGTGAAGCTGGTTTGATGAGGTGACCCTCGCTCAATGGGTAGCCGCGTTGCGATAGTAAAACTATTTGCTCTCGAGTAGGACAGAGTATTCGAGCACATTGAACAGCCTCTTTCATCACTGAGCAGGAGAGGACTGAACATATGCTACATCTTTCCTGACTCTAACTCTGGTGAATAGAGAGGAGTAGAGAGAGTAGATATAGTAGAGAGATGTAGATAGTAGTGGTAGAGATAGAGAGTAAAGGAAGTAGAGATAGTAGAGAGTAGAGAGTAGAGGTAGAGAGTATGAAGATTATAGAGAGTAGATTAGATTATTATCGAGGTAGAGAGAGTGATATAATGATTTTATTTATCATATTTCTCTAATCTATCTTATGAGAGTAGAGAGTAGAGAGTAGGAGTAGAGAGAGTAGAGAGAGTAGCGTAGAGAGTGAGAGAGTAGAGAGATATAGAGGTAGAGAGAGTAGTGAGTAGAGAGTAGGAGAGTAGGAGTAGAGAGAGTAGAGTTAGAGAGTTAGAGAGAGTAGAGAGAGTAGAGAGAGTGAGAGAGTAGAGAGAAGTGAGAGAGTAGAGTAGAGAGTAGAGAGAGTTTAGAGAGGGTATAGAGATTAGAGAGAGAGTGTGTGGAGTAGAGAGTAGAGAGTAGAGAGTAGAGAGTAGAGAGAGTTGTGAGAGTAGAGAGAGTAGAGAGGTAGAGAGAGTAGAGAGGTAGAGGTAGAGAGTAGAGAGTAGAGTTAAAAGTGTTGAGTGTAGAGAGTAGATGAGAGAGAGAGTAGAGTGGTACGAGAGTAGTGAGGAGGACGAGTAGAGAGTAGAGAGAGTAGAGAGAGTAGAGAGTAGAGAGTAGAGAGTAGAGAGTAGAGAGTAGAGAGAGTAGAGTGTAGAGATAGTAGAGAGAGTAGAGAGAGCTAGGACAGAGTATCGAGCACATTGAACCAGCCTCATTCTCACTCACTGAGCAGGAGAGACTGAACATATGCTACCTTGCTTTCCCTGACTCTAACTCTGGTGAATAGAGAGAGTAGAGAGAGTAGAGAGAGTAGAGAGAGTAGAGAGTAGAGGGTAGAGAGTAGAGAGTAAAGAGTAGAGAGAGATAGAGTTGAGATAGGAGAGTTTGAGAGTAGAGAGTAGAGAGTAGAGAGAGTAGAGAGAGTAGAGTAGAGAGTAGAGAGAGTAGAGAGTAGAGGGTTAGAGAGTAGAAGTGTAAGAGTAGAGAGAGTTAGAGAGTAGAGGAGTAGAGAGTAGAGAGAGTAGATAGAGTAGGTGAGAGTAGTGAGAGTAGAGAGAGTAGGAGAGTACTTGAGAGTAGAGAGTGTAGAGAGTAGAGTGTAGTGCGTAGAGAGAAGAGAGTAGAGAGAGTAGAGAGAGTTGAGAGAGTTAGAGAGAGTAGAGAGTAGAGAGTTGAAGTAGAGAGTAGTGTGTAGAGAGTAGAGAGAGTAGAGAGAGTAGAGAGAGTTGAGAGTAGAGGTAGAGAGTAGAGAGTAGTGAGGTTAGAGTGTCAGGATTGTAGAGAGTAGAGAGAGCTTAGGACAGAGTATCGAGCACATTGAACCAGCCTCATTCTCACTCACTGAGCAGGAGAGACTGAACATATGCTACCTTGCTTTCCTGACTCTAACTCTGTTGAATAGAGAGAGTAGAGAGAGTAGAGAGAGTGTAGAGGAGTAGAGAGTAGAGGGTAGAGAGTAGAGAGTAAAGAGTTGAGAGGAGGTAGAGAGTAGTAGAGTAGTCAGAGAGTAGAGAGTTGAGAGTTGAGGAGAGTAGAGAGAGTAGAGTAGAGAGGTAGAGAGATAGAGAGTAGGGTAGAGAGTAGAGAGTAAGAGTAGAGAGAGTGAGAGTAGAGAGTAGAGAGTAGAGAGTAGTGAGAGTAGAGACGAGTTGAGTAAGAGAGTAGAGAGAGTTGGTGAGTAGAGAGAGTATAGAGAGTAGAGAGAGGAGAGTAGAGAGTAGAGAGTAGAGAGTAGAGAGAGTAGAGAGTAGAGAGTAGAGAGAGTAGAGAGAGTAGAGAGAGTAGAGAGAGTAGAGAAGAGTAGAGAGTAGAGGGTAGAGTGTCAAGTGTAGAGAGAGTGGTAGAGAGAGTAGATGGAGAGTAGAGAGAGTAGAGAGTAGAGAGTAGAGAGTAGAGAGTAGAGAGAGTAGAGAGAGTAGAGTAGAGAGTAGAGAGAGTAGAGAGAGTAGAGAGAGTATAGAGAGTAGAGAGAGTAGAGAGTAGAGAGTAGAGAGAGTAGAGAGGTAGAGAGTAGAGAGTAGAGAGTTGAGAGGTAGAGAGAGAGAGTAGAGAGTGAGAGAGTAGAGAAGAGTCTAGAGAGTATAGAGGAGTAGAGATGAGAGAGTGTAGAGAGTAGAATATAGAGAGTTGTTGAGTAGAGATAGTAGAGAGTAGAGATAGTAGAGAGAGTAGAGGTAGAGAGTAGAGGAGAGTAAGAGAGTAGAGAGTAAACAGTAGAGAGTAGAGAGTAGAGAGTTAGAGAGAGTTTGAGAGTAGAGAGTTGAGAGTAGAGGTAGAGAGAGTAGAGAGCGTAGAGAGAGTTGGAGAGTAGAGAGTGAGGAGTAGAGAGTAGAGAGGTAGAGTGTAGAGATAGTAGAGAGAGTAGAGAGATAGTAATAGTTCAGTAGTACTGTAATAGTAATAGTTTAATAGTACTGTAATAGTAATGTAATAGTTTAATAGTAATGTAATAGTAATAGTTTAATAGTAATGTAATAGTAATAGTTTAATAGTACTGTAATAGTAATGTAATAGTTTAATAGTAATGTAATAGTAATAATTTAATAGTACTGTAATAGTATGTATTGTTGCACTAGTATGTAATTGTAAGGTAATAGTTGCTTAGTACTTTAATAGTTATGTATTGTTTAATAGTAATGTAATAGTAATAGTTTAATAGTAATGTAATAGTAGTACAGTTGGTCTTCTATTCGGAATTTTGGAAGTTATGTTTTGTAACAACAAGTTTAGCTTTGCAATAAACCTCCTCCTCCTCGCTTATAAACAGGAACATTGACTAAGCTCTAGATGAGTAGAGATGTTAGAGAGTAGAGAGTAGAGAAGTTAAGAGTTTAGAGAGTAGAGAGTAAGAGAGTAGAGGAGTAGAGTTAGAGAGTGAATGTAGAGTGTAGAGAGTAGAGGTAGAGTGTAGTGAGTATGAGAGTAGAGAGTGAGAGTAGAGAGTAGAGAGTAGAGAGTAGAGAGTAGAGAGTAGAGAGTTAGAGAGTAAGAGAGTAGAGAGTAGAGAGTAGAGTTAAGAGAGTAAGAGTAGTAGAGTAGAGAGTAGAGAGTAGAGAGAGGTGAGAGAGTTGTGAGAGTTAGAGAGAGTAGTAGAGAGAGTAGAGAGAGTAGGAGGTAGATTAGTAGAGAGAGTAGAGAGAGTTGTGAGTGTAGAGAAATAGAGAGTAGAGAGAGTAGAGATAGTAGAGAGAGTAGAGAGAGTAGAGAGAGTATGAGCGAGTAGGATTTAGAGAGGAGTAGAGATAGGAGAGTAGTAGTGAGAGTAGTGAGAGTAGACGGAGAGAGAGATTAGAGAGAGTTGGGAGGAGTAGAGAGTAGAGAGTAGAGAGTAGAGAGTAGAGAGGAGAGTAGAGAGTAGAGAGTAGAGAGTAGAGAGTAGAGAGTAGAGAGTAGAGAGTAGAGAGTAGAGAGAGAGAGTAGAGAGAGTAGAGAGAGTAGAGAGAGTAGAGAGAGTAGAGAGTAGAGAGTAGAGAGAGTAGAGATTAGAGAGTAGAGAGTAGAGAGAGTAGAGAGTAGAGAGTAGAGAGTAGAGAGTAGAGAGTAGAGAGTAGATAGTTTCCACTGGTTGTTAGCGTGCAGTTCAGTGTAGAACAGTCAGTGCTGTTCGACATGCACCGCCCTGACACGCAGAGCTATATTGTGATACACTCTGAACTATATTTAATGAACTATATTTAATGAACATGTATGAGAATCGGTTCAATTAAATGGTAGTAAACGTGATTCTATGTATTGTTCATTAGCCGGTTACTTGGTAACCATAATTTGGCTGTTGAAATTACCCTTAGTAATTTGGGTATGTAATGAAAAGTCTATTCGAAGTTTCAACCTACCAGTTTGAACTTTTGAAATGTACCAATCTTCAGAGGCGGAAGTGCAGTCAGACTCGGATAAGATTGTGCTCTATTTTACTAATCTCAATATTTTCAGGATGTTCGGGAGACACGTGCTATCACTTCCGAGTAAGGAAAGAGTACAACGTCTCCAAGCAACGGGATGACCTGACCTCTAGAGACAGCCACTTTTATTATGGTTACGTGTTCTTTAGGTTAGTTAATTATGCTTTTTATGAGTACGTACCGTTCACATTAATACAGTATTATACCATATTATCATAATATGATATAATACAGTACTATACCAAGAAATAATTGCGAATTGGTTTGAATAAATTGTGTAAAAATTATAACATTGTTGACTTTTCTCCAGGCAGACAAAAGGGGAACAATTCAAGCGGGGTTACTTCCAAAAATCATTTGTTCTCCTGACAAGGAAACCCTACATAAACCTATACTCGAACATAGTCCAGATCATGGCGCCCCAGTTCTTTGAGTCCGGTAGAGTTGCTATAGAGGTGGCGATGCACAATTTCACCTGTTGGGAGCCAATAATGCCTGGCAAAAGTTATCAGGTCCCTCTGTTGGGTCAAGTGAGTTCTTTTAAAAGCTCAAATTCATATTTTCAGAAACATAATATATTATGCTTTGTTGTTTTGTGATATTAATGCGATTTTGAGCCCGCTTTTGTGGCCTTATGACATCAATTTATAATAGGCTACAGACTGTATAGTGCATGTGAATGGCTACAGACTACAATTCAATGTGTGAATGGCTGTTTCTTCGATTATAACATGGCTATACAGCTTCAGATATATAGCTACACGAGCAATGACTGAAACTTATATAAAGTCACAGTCTCAACTCTCAGAAAAACACCCAACTTCTCAAGATTTCACAACTTCAAATCCTTATTAGGAAAAATTACATTTTCTTTGTCAGCTGTTTATTATTTACTCCCCAGGTGATGTCGTTCCACATACCCTCCGTGAAAGACAAAATACAGATCAAAGCTAAGGAGTTCCCTGGTCACGTACTGGCTCCTAAACCAGTGGTTCTGAGGTCCATCATGGAGCATGACATCTATAGTACCCTCCGTCCTCTTCTTCCTCATATCGGTAACATACGGGTAACATAGGGGTAACATATGTAGTGTAAAATAAGGTGGGCACCAGACCAGTCCTCCCGAAGCGTACCGATGGTCTACAGTGCCTGCTCACAAAGGTGTACTCACAATATACACTACTCACTCAGTCGTTCTTAGCGACTGACAACCGCAATAACTCACAATATCTAAGTATTGAACTCTACGTTAATATAATAACAAATACGATATTCTAGTACCGTACACGGAATTAACAGAAAGGGATACTAAGGTGTTAATATCGAGAATATGAATCAAATGGGAAATATAAACTCGTTACGAACGCTAGTAGAAACACTAAACTCTTAGAACTTGCACTTACTCTGAATTGACTGAAACACGATCTTCGAGTATCGAAAGCTTACTAATTTACCCCACACGGAAATAGGTGAGGCAACTTTAATTTGAACGGTATAATGTGGTATAATTCGTTCCTACGCTAGTGTTGAACAAGGGAAACAGTTGAATCGATTAATAACGTTCGAAGATGAAATACACGGTTAATCAACAACAATTAACAACTATAAACTGTGGCAATACGGGCCACGCCGGGTTCGTTCCAGATCAGCGGTTAACACTTTGATAGAAAGTTAAACACGTCACCTAAAAAGCTTTTCCAGAACTAATCCTAACGTGTCCAGAAATGCGTTATCGACACGCGCCACGTGATACCACGTGGTCACTTAACTACCTAAATCTACACTCATTACTAACGGTCATATTAATCACTAAATTGCAATCTACACAACTGCTAAAACTACTCTAAAACTGCAGCCTACATATTACACTATATGGGTAACATATGGGTAACATATGGGTAACATATGGGTAACATATGGGTAACATACGAGTAACATATGGGTAACATATGGGTAACATATGGGTAACATACGAGTAACATATGGGTAACATATGGGTAACATATGGGTAATAACCATGATAGGCACCATTTGGGTGCGCCAAATTACCATATCCTGCATGTTTTCTGATTTTTATCGCAAAATAGCAGAAAATATACGGGAAATTATGTGATCCAGAATCCACCGCATCGAAATGGTGCCTCTGGTTTAGGATTATTACCATAACTTTAATTGTGTAAGACTGGGTCCAAAGGTGTCAAACTCAGAAGAAATCCCAAATTAAAGAAACTGTATGATTTAAGTTAAGGGTATAGTGTTCAGTGTAAACGCTAGATAAAATATAATGACCCTGACATTATTACAGGTATTCTGTGGGAGCTGGTACTGCTAAGTGAACCTGTTGTAGTGTTCGGGCCCAGTCCCTCTGCTACTTCCTCGCTAGTTCAGACTTTGGTCAGTCTCACTGCTCCTCTCAGGTGAATACTGTGCTATTTTTAAAAATTGTCAAGTTACTTTTAAATTTACTGTTTGAACGAATT